GATTATAATATAATATAATTATAATAATATAGTTATAATATAATTATTTTTAAAATATGTTAGCTTAATATGAAGATTTGATTATATGCCAAAATTATTACTTCAACATGAATGGCAACTACATATAAGTGAATCATTCTCAATCAGTTTAAATATATAACCTTCATTTAATAAATAATTTTTAATTAAGTACACTTAAGCAAATATAAGTAATTATTTTATGTTTGTCATTCACAGCATTAAGTTTAAAACGTTTTAGTTAGCTTAATCGTGACTAGTCCTAAGCATGATCATATAATGTAATTTATGAAGTTAATAAATATGCATTATTTGGTTTTATAATTTTATTATCTTATTTTAATTATATTTTATGAGTCACTAATAAAGTTATAATTATTATATATTAAAATTCTGTTTCCATTTGAATGTATTATGCTATTTGACCACTCTTTTTTTGTTTGATTACCGTGTTTGCATAAATAATTTGCAGTGTAAGGAATTATTTAATAATAGTTTTTTACATACAATATATTCTCTTCCTTTAGAGAATTACATTTTTTATTATTATTTATCTTTTCAAAAAGGTTCTAGCACGTAACAACAGGTGTCAGAAATAAATCATTAGAATTATTATTGATCACTGATGTCACACGTATACGCATAGAATATAAATGTTGTGATTGCTTATTTAGAGTCATGTACGGAAAAACTTAAAAAACGAAATTTCAAAAAGAGAAAAAACATAATACAATATATTTCAATGGGATTAAATTAAATGGATTAAATTGACGATCCAAGGAATCAACATAGCACTATTTGTTCAGATGATTTTAAAACTCGTACGGCTTAAAGATTATAAACGCCTTAAATACATCTTAAGGATTGTTCAAGGAGAACTCTGTCTCAATTAACCACAGCTACCACGATTCTTCCGTAAGAAGCCAATCATGTATCCAACACAACCGAGGTGGTGGATACCTGTACCCCCCAGTGGTGTTATGGTCTATTGCCAGTTAAGCTCATTTGCCACCCATTATACTCTAAACAGTACTGGATGCTAACTAATGGATGTTGCAACTTTTGCGACAGATATACTTTTTCTTGCCAGTATTCTAATTCCTTTCCTGAAGGAAATAGATTGATTAGGAGTATAATAACAACAACTTTTTTTTAAAAGTCGCTGAAGTGATTAGCAATCCATAAATATTTAAATATTTTCAGTTCTTCACAGAAAACTGTACTACTTATCTCATTTTCTATTTCAGAGTATATAATTACGCCGTCTTCTAAAAAAAAATCTACCGATAGACATGTATGTCTAAACAGAAAATCGGCAGTGATTTACCTGCCAAAATTAAGAATGGAGAGAAATATATCGATCAATTATCGAGTGGATCGATCATCTAAAAATATTTAGAATAGTGCTGCGAAGTAGATGTTATAAAAGCAGACAGTGTTTTCCCTGTCGAAATTAAGAAGAGAGAGAGAGATGTAATCAATTATCGAGGTTAAATAAGACGATACTGCCATTTGAGAACCAATGACTTTGCTATAAATTAAATAAAGTAAGATTTTGCCAGTTTTTGAAATTTATATATAAAAATTACGATATTCAAAAAAAAAAAATCTAAAACTTAAATAAAATATTAAATCAAAAATAGAATTTCTATTAAATATTGTATTGGGATTCAAATACAAATTAAAATTTAAACTATTAAATCTAAACATATAAGTAACATCTGGCAAATTAGGATGGATTGTCAGACACTTGATTCCAAATAGAAAAAGAGACGATCTTAAGTTAGGTGGCGCCGTACTGTGAGGCAGAAAAAAAAGAAGAAGAGAAAAACTTTTAGCATAAAACCAGTTAAGTTAATTGTTTTCTAAAGCGTTATGCATAGTGAAGGAGAATTTAAGGAACTAAAGGATCTTTAAACTCAAGGAACAAATTTAAAAAAATGTTTAAAAACATGTTTGTATCAAAATAACTAAAAACAATATTATTTTTATTTTTATATTCAATTTTTAATTTTTATTTTTAATT